ATATATATATATATATATATATATATATATATCCATCAAACAATCATAATTATCCAATAATGTTTGAATTGTAATATTTTTTCTCCAAATTGAATTTATCTAAAATTTGGGGCGTGTGGATCTAACCATCTCACCCAAAAATAACTGGAGTGCCCCATAAATATTCATAAGGGTAATTTGGTCATTTTATTATATGAATAATTTCTTTTACAAAATTTGAAGCTAATCAAATTTGTAAAAAAAAAAATTAAAATTTAAACACTATCAGACAATCATGACCATCTGATGGACTTTGGATGGTGATGTGCCATGAGCAAAATATTTTAGAAATTCACTCATTAGTGTTCTTAAGTGTTCACACACACACACACACACACACACACACACACACACACATAATAGAATATTTTAGAACACACCATACTAACGATGAACTTGGACCTTCCCACTCCGAAATTTTTGACATTAAAAGAAATGCCCTTATAAATATAAAAATTGAATTAACAGTTGCTTGTTTGATAATTTTGGGAATGGCATATTTATAATTTTTAATTACTGTAAAGACCAATCATCCTTGAAAAAGTCAAAAGAATCTTTTAAAATTGAAATTGAGTTTTGGAGGGATTTTGAAAAGACAAAAATACCCTTTCAAAAATACACAAACTATCTAAGTTCAAATTAGTGTGGTATAAGCACACACTTAGAAAACTTACCAATAGCTCTAGATCGAACTTGTATAGTAAAAACAGCGTACACACTCACAAAATTTACCAATAGCTCTAGATCAAACTTATACAGTAAGAACATTGTAACTCCCAACCTTTTGATCTCCATTTGATGGTTGGGAGCACACACTTAGAAAACTTACCAATAGCTCTAGATCGAACTTGTATAGTAAAAACAGTGTACACACTCACAAAATTTACCAATAGCTCTAGATCAAACTTATACAGTAAAAACATTGTAACTCCCAACCTTTTGATCTCCATTTGATGGTTGGGAGTGTGTGTTAGTCAATGAATTTTACTTTTTGTTTGCAAATAAGATTGGGACGAAATGTTGAGTGTGTGCTGCATATTTGGCTGTAACTGAAAAACTAAAAAAAAGTTAATTCTGAAAAAATAAAATAACCAAATACCCTTCAATTTCTGTCATTTTGCTTTTCATAATGATATTGTTATCTGGAGTTGAGAGTGAGAAGTACACATGACCAAAATTTCAGCTCTATCTTGTCTATAAAAATAATAATCAAGATTTAGATGGTGTCGTATGCTCCCAGAAGTGGACCATTTTACTACCAAGTTACACTAGAATAGATGGAGTTTTCCTAAAAAACCGTCTAATGGAGGAATACCTCCTAGGGATAGGTGACATAGGGCTGAAGAGAGAGCCAAGAAATATCTTTCTTGTATAATCCTCCATAATATATCTTTTTGGTTCTCTCTTCAGCCCTATGTTTCCTATTCCTAGGAGGTATTCCTCCATTAGCAGAGCTATATATTGCTTTTTCATATGCACATCCATCAGATAATCCAAGCTATAAATTGAAACCTCAAATATCTCTTCTTTATCACTATAAAAAAAAGAAAAAACTTCCATGTCTTTTTAGGTTTGGGCTTCCTGTTTTAAAAAGACAGCTACAAAATTTTGTAAAAGCTACATATTTTACCATATGTTCGTATATAGAATATAGCAATTTTAAATTTCGAATGGATGATAAAGATTTAGTAATTATGATATTCCCGTGTATGGAGAGAATGTCTTAATTGCTATTTCATATAGTGAGTGTTGTATAACCTTTCCACATAGATAACTCTTGTGCTTTAAAAAAATTTTGAGAGTTTCAAAAATTTTATATTGTCTAATATTTAACAGAAAGTGTGTCCGGGTATTCATTATTTGAGTATCCACTATGTACGATGATCCCATAGACTATGAAAAAACCATTACTCAGTGGGTCATCACATTCCATTGAAGTGATGGGCGGTGATGGAGAGAGTGGGACTCCTCATTTGGGTCATGTCTTGTTGTGGTGGATCCTGCTCTCCTCCATAACTGTCGACTACTTCTGTGGATTCTGATGACCCAATGGGTTGTGGTTTTTCCATAGTGCCTCTCATTATAGTATAGTTTCCCGTAGCAGGTGGATGACTTAGTGCACATAGATACTAAAGTAGAATCACATCATTTAGAGGCAGAGGGATTTTGAGGGTGTCAGGAGGCCTTTTCGACTGTTGCGTTGGAAGTACGTTTGTAAGGAAGATTTGTCAGGACACATCCTTTTGCAACCTTTAAAATGGGAAACATTAGAGGCAGTTTAAATGAGTGTTTAAAAACTCAAGCCCATAGCTTGAAATGCTCATCCACCAGAGTTAGATTATGTAAAGAAATTCTAGGAGGTTAGAATGTTTAAACAAGGTTTAGGAACTTCAAATTGTCCTAAAAACATTAGTTTTATCAGAAACTCTTTTTATGTTGTTTCTATAGCCATAGGTCTGAGTCCCGATTCAGGGATGGACTTGGACTTGGACTCAGACTGGGTGGCTGCCAGTCCCAATTTGAATTGGGTGGTTCCAAGTTGTGCCAGTGATTTTTGGAAAACCATTTTGCAAGTTGCAAAGTTGATGCCCTCAAAAAGAAAAAAAAAAACATTGAAGAGGATTTCTTTCCTTCTGATAGTGGATCTCTGAGACTACCCTTGTGAACTACTGAAAATGCGTAATCAAATATTACTGGAGGGTCTTATTGGTGTGACCTACATCTGCTTTTTGCATGCATGAATTTTGAATACATCGTTTTCCCCTATCTGCTTTGAGGTGAGAGTTGCATGGCTTTTGGTGGTGGATCTCTCTCTCTCTCTCTCGTTATGTACCTCATTGCCATGTTGTATTGAATAACTAATTTTATGGAAGCGTTGGCATTTGTGACCTGGAGCTTAGTGCAGTTTTACCTAAGCGTTGAAGGTGGCTTCTAACAAGTAAAGTAACAATGAGCTGTGCCCACATTTATCATTTTTTTTGCCTTGCTGACTTCTTGTATCAGTGGGAGGACCACTGCCCAAACATCATCTAAGTTTAGTTGAATGCCTTCATTTCCTCCATGCTATACCAACTTCCTTGAAGTTTTTGATACGTATATTTGCGGTTCAAACAGTTCTGATTCATCGATGGCTTGAAGAAAGCAAACTGAAAAAATAGTGCTTCGGCTTGGTTGCAGGTGACATGGAGCTAACTCATTTATTTTGCCTTGCAGATGGCATGGAGCTCTTGGTGTCTAAGACCGCTTGTGCATTGCACCTGTATGGGGTTGAATGTGAGTATGTGAAGAGTGTGCTGCATGCCCTAGAAGAGGAGACTGAAAAAATCTCTCTACTCAAGGAGCATTTTGATAACTGCATGGAATTGCAAAAGAAACTTAACTATTGAGTTCTGAGAAAATGTGAAAGTACGTTTCTGGCTGATGCCAGATGTGGTTTTGTTGTTTCTTATGAATTGGTGCATTTGTGTGTTATACGTGCTCATGTGCGTGTGTAGAGAGAGAGGAGAGAGAGACGGATACTAGATGGCCGGGAGAGGTTTGTTAAAAGGAATGTGGCGTTGTGTGTGTATATATAGATATATTGGGGAAAGTTGTTTTTGCGTTTAGGTGCGTACTGCTATAGTAAATGCTTTCCATACAGATTGAATTTGGGTCGATCTGACGATCATGGGTGTCTGATGTGTTTGAATTTTAATTTTTTTTTCTACAAATTTAAATCACTCGAAATTATAGATGTGTGTTCTTCAAAAATAGGTGAATTTTAAAAAAATATAAAAAAAACATTTTACATGAAATAAATGGATGAAAATACCCTTGAAAAATTTTGGGGGGTATTTTGATCATTATTTTTTGCAAATGTTTTTTTAAATATTTTTATTAGGTGCGTTTTGATGAGAATAATGCACGTCTAAAATTTCAAGTGATTTGGATTTGTAGAAATAAAATGAAAATTCAAACGTTATAGAACATCCATGAGTGTCAGATCAGCCATAGAATGGCTCAGATTTAATCTGAGTCATTCGCGTATGGGGGTACAGCAATGACTATATATATATAGGGAGAGAGATAGAGAGATTGATTGTTTATAATGAGACCATTTACTTCTGGTATAATGAGGTCGCAATTATTTATAACCATATGATGTGAATTTTGGTTGTTTTGGTGTCATAGTTTGACAAATTTTTTTTGAAATTTTGAGCCCAGTCAATAGAATAAATGCAACAACCTAATTTACATCCAATTGTCAAGATTAATTGTGACCATCTTGTATCAAAGATAAATCATTACATTGTATACTTTTTAATATATATATATATATATGGAAAAAGCTTGGGTGAGCCTACTAGCTCATGGAATAGTATAAGCTCAACAAATTTGAGCCGATTTGACGAATATAGATGTTTGGTAGTGTTTGAATTTTAATTTTTTTTTAGTAAAAATATAAAAAAAATAATTCGCAAAAAAACATTGACCAAAATACCTACGAAACTTTTTGGAGGTATTTTGGTCAATTTATTTTATGTAATTTTTTTTTTTTGATATTGCTTGAAGATTCAACTATTTTTAATGTATACACGTTTCAAATTTC